TCTCGGGGTCCTGAAGTAGTCGGCTGACAAAGTATATAGGAACTTGGCTACCTTCTCTCTCCTATACCAAAACCGAGCTGATCGCCTCGTCGAATACGGCTAAGTACAACTGAAGAGGATTCGAAGGTTCGGGTCTCGTGAGGATCGGCGGCGTCGCCAAAGTCGTCTTCAATGATGTAAAGGCTTCTTCACATGGCTCGCTCCACGAGAAGGCCGAAGCCTTCCGTAAGAGCTTTGTCATCGGGCTGATCTTGTCGGCCAAACGAGGGAGGAATCGGGATAAGGCGACTAATCTTCCTGACAGTCGTTGTAGTTCTTTGAGGTTGTTCGGACTTCGCATATCTAAGACGGCCTGACATTTGTCTCGGTTTGCCTCTATCCCTCTAGCTGATAGCATAAACCCCAAAAATTTGCGTCCCTTGACCCCGAAAGTGCACTTCTCGGGGTTAAGCCTCATGTTGTGCTTGCGTAACTCACCGAATATTTCGGCTAGGTCTGCCAGGTGGTCGACCACCGAGTTGGACTTCACCACCATATCGTTTACATAATTTTTGATGTTACGCCCAATCTTCCCTTGAAACACCTTATCCATTAACCTTTGGTAGGTTGCTCTGACGTTTTTCAGTCCGGACGGCATGACTTTGTAACAAAAGTTGGCGTTCTCAGTGATGAACGCCGTCTTCTCCTCGTCGGTCGGGTGCATCTTTATCTGGTTGTAGCCGGAGTAGGCATCGAGGAAGCTGAAGATGGAGTGCCCGGACGCACCGTCAACCAGTCGGTCAATGCAGGGGAGCGGATAGGCGTCTTTGGGGCAGGCTTTGTTGAGGTCGGTATAGTCGGTGCACATTCTCCACTTTCCATTTGACTTTTTGACTAAAACCACGTTGGCTAGCCAGGTTGTGTACGTGACCTCCCTTATGAATTTGGCTTGTAACAATTTTTTCACCTCGGCATTTGCAGCCTTCCTTTTCTCATCCCCCATTTTTCTCTTCTTTTGGGCAACTGGTCGGGCGTCTCGGCATACGGCGAGCCGATGGCAAAGGAAATTTGGATCTATTCCTGGTATGTCTGACACCGTCCATGCGAATAGGTTTTTGTTGTCTCGAACTGCTCGCTTCAGCTGGTTCGAATCGGCTTGATTCAGTTGAGATCCCATGTGCGTGACCTGCTCGGGTGCTCGGCCAAGTTGAAAAGGAACGAGGTCCTCGGACGGCTCGATTCGCTCTTCTTCCCCTAACCGAGGATCAAGGCCGATGCCCTCTGTCATCTCCTGCCTGACCGCGTTCACACCTTTCGTTGTCGTTGGGGGGTCGGCAATAGGTTGCACCTTCAAGCTAGATAAGTAACACTCCCTGGCTGTCTTCTGATCAGCGTGAACTGTTATTACTTGCCCGTCTCTCGACGAAAATTTCATGCATAAGTGAGGTGTTGAGACAATGGCCCTTAATGCATTAATAGAAGGCCGACCTAGCAGGATGTTGTACGACGTGTTCGCATGCACCACGATGTAACGGATCTTGATCTCTCGGGAAGACTTGCGGTCGAAGCCGAAACGAGTGTATAGATCAATGCACCCTCTCGTCATCACTCTTTCGCCCGAGAATCCTACTAACGGCTCGTGATACGGTTCTAGGCTCTCCTCCGGGATCCCTAGCTGTACAAAGGTGTTCCAATACAATATGTCGGCCGAGCTCCCCTGGTCGACCAAGGTTTTCTTTACGATGCAATTATGCATTTCAACTGAAATTACCATGGGGTCGTCCTGAACGGGATCAACTCCTCGGAAGTCTCGGTCGGAAAAGGTTATTGGTGGCATCTTCGGTGTCCTCGGCTGATTCACACTATTTACTGATCGCACTTCTCGGAGGTGTCTCTTCCATACGGAAGATGTGGAACCTCCCTCGGCGAAGCCTCCGGCTATTGTGTTTATTATCTTCCTCGGTCGGTCATTGTCTTCTCGGGAATGCCGTGAGTGGTCTCTCCTTTCAGCTGATCGGGATCGGCTGCGTCGGTCTCTCGGCGGTGGTGCTTCCCGGGAGTGATGGTCCCTCCCCCTTGATTGGTGGTTTTGAGGGGTGACGAAGCTCGTGAGGTGACCCTGTTTGATAAGGTCCTCAAGCTTGTCTTTTAGCGCCGAACATTCTTTTGTCAAGTGCCCCCTGTTTCGGTGGAATCGGCACGTCTTAGCTTTGTCGGCTCTAGGGGGTGTGTTCGCCCTTTTCGGCATCACAAGGATCTCTGATGCAAGTGTCTGCTCCATTACCTTAGCCCTACTCGCGTTGAGGGGAGTATACGCTGCGTAGCGTGGTCCTCTTGGGGGGCGAGTGTTCAGGGGCTCGACATTCATCTTTCTCATTGACTCTCGGCCGGATTCTTTTCGGCTATAACCCTCCTCAGCCCTTGCCTGATTTCGGGTCTCCGCCAATTCTTCCATTTGCATATACTTCTCGGCTCGGTGCCAGAGATCTTTCATGTCACCGGGCGGTTTCTTGCACAAGCTATTCACAAATGGCCCCGGCCTGAGGGCAGTGCTTAGCCGATCCATTGCCACAGCTGGGTTAAGGTCGCTGATCTCCATGGCGATCTTGTTGAATCGGTCCATGAAGCTTCTCAAACTTTCCTTCTTCTCTTGACGAACTCCCGCCAATGCTAGCGAGGTCGTCTTGTACGGCTTGCTCGTCGCGAATTGAAGGGTAAATTGAGACGACAGCTCGCTAAACGAGTCAATGGAGGAGGTCGGCAGACGTGTGAACCAACTTAAAGCTCTTCCTTTCAATGACGTGGGGAATATTCGGCACAAGGCAGAGTCGTCTTGAGTAGATAGGGTAGCTTGTGTCAGGAAAATATTCAGGTGTTCCTATGGGTCAGTAGACCCATCATACTTCTCGATTGGCAAGCTCTTCCAGTGGTCTAATAAGGTTGCTTCCATTATCCTTCGAGAGAAAGGGTGCCTCAGGGAGTGAGAGGTGGTGTCGGCCTTGTTGCCTATCAAAGAGGTAACCGGTGTTCGGGTGACTTGGTCGGTTGGGGCATGATAGGCTGACTCCTCCAGGAGTGTCGGAGTGGACGGCACGTAGGTTTGGTTCAGACTTCGGAGTTCGGCGTTCTGCCGACGCAGTTCAACCAACTCCCTGGCATCGGCTTCTCTCTGTCTTCGGATGGCTGCCATTTCCTCGCGCAATGCACGCAAGTCATCGTGGAGGTCGGGCTGGGCTCGATCGGTGCTCGGCCGAACCTCTTGTATCACAGGTTCCGGTTGTGTCTGAGGCATTCCGTACGGGTATCGTTCTTGGCTGGTCATGACAGGATTGTTCTCGGGGTTAGGGTTCGGTTGAGTCGATGTCGAAGGTCCTTTGCGTGTTACTACCATATCTCGGTCTCAGTCGTAGAGTTAAAAAGGGGCTGAAAATGTCTCTTCGGCCCCACGGTGGGCGCCAAATGTTCCTTGTTAGGATACACACTTCAATTATCCTTGTTGTAACGGGTCTGGTCTTGGGTCTAGGTCTTCTCATCCTGTTCCGAGTAGTCCGAAGCGAGGGGGTGCCTGCAAAGACACTCCAACGCTCAAGTAAGTGTTCGGCGTAATAAATGCGGTAGTTAAAAGTTAGTTACATACCTCGTTAGGGTCCTATTTATAGTGATTCCTATTGGGCCATGATTAAGGATTGGGCCCCGTGAAATTAGGGGGTTAATCCGGTGCATTACGTAAATTAACCTCTCCATAATCATCCTAGTGCAAGTACGGGGCTTGGCCGAGCACACCGACATGTTCTATTCAGATTGTGAGTGGTCGGTGGGCTCGGATATTCGTCTTGATCATTCACGGACTCGAAAATCGGCCTAGTCGGCCATGGACTCTGGTATTCGGGTTTTCGGCCTAGTCGGCCATGGACTCGGGTATTCAGGTTTTCGGCCTAGTCAGCCACTATACAGTATAGAATATGTCTACACCCTATTAAATATTAATGATAAAGATCCATTTTTAAAAATTTAAAATTTATAAAAATTATAATTAACTAAAATAATTAAAAATAAATAAAGCATAAATTTAATCATATTTATGAGAACTAAAAACATATCCTTTTATATATAAAAAAGAAATAAAATTACTTTTATTTTTTTTAATCATTAACAAGTACTCTAAATATACTAAGTCAATATTTCCTTTAATTTGCATCAAGTATGTCCTCCAAGGTTTCAATTTATTCTTCGAAACCCTCTTTTTGAGATAAAGAAATTACCAAAATGAATTTTATCTCTTTTAACAAAGTCAATACTTACCTCACAAAATTGTACAAACATTAATTTAGATTTTGTTAATGTGGAGTACTCTCTTTAAACACAAATACAAAAGGAAATTTTTTTCATTAATTTTGATCCTAAATATAAACAAATTTGAACACCTTTTACACTATTTAATGAAATCATATTTAAAATATTCTTTCGGTTAATTAAAATTTTATTTTTAACGACACTTTTAATCTTGATATCAATTCCCAATAAAGGAAGTATAAAAAGAATAAAGAAGATAATTTTTTTTATTGAAATTAATAAAAGTAAATTATACCAATTGATTTTCTTAATTGGCGTGTAAGTCAATTAAATTAACTTATAATTGATCATGAGAGTATTCTCAAATCACAAGAAATAAAAAGAACTTATCCCATTTTCAACAATCCATGATCAGTTGATTATCAAGAGAAAACTAGTAGGAATATTTTCAGAACCTTATAGATTAGGAATTCTTTTATCACCATTTTTGTGCTAAGGTGAAGTAATTCTTAAAAAAAAAAATATAGTGAAGTACTTACTGTCATAAACGAAAGCATTCAATCATACAAATCGTATCATACAAGCGACCAGTGTTTCAATTTGCATTATATCAGAATGATCAATACCATGCACAAGGAAAATAATGATTTCATGGTTTTAATTTTTAAAGCAAAAAATATGAATTATCACAAGGGTCAATTGTGAATAATCTAACATAGATGGCACCATAATTAATAGGAAGATATTTATATTTCAATAAATTTAATTCCACAGCCAATGCCAACTCTCACTGGAAGAGTACATTACAAATAAAGAAATAAAAAAATATCAAGTCCCATATTGCTGCACTAACACCATTTAATATCATTTTAAAATGCTATATTCCTCTGACGAACTGTAAACAAATGCCACTGTAACACCCCGATACAGAAACCTTTCCAAAGATGTCTGTCAGATTTGACTAGTAATGCAGATGAAGTTGAAGAACAGACAACTCCGAATAATCAATTGATTTTCCATAAAGCTTGAGAATCAAAAAGGGCTAAAAAGGAATTGTAAAATGAATACCAAAACCTTTTTCCTTTGAACAAAATGACTGACAATTTTCTACCATCAGAATTCAGAGTAAGGTCTCCATATTTTCTTTACACTGACTTACATATGCGCTTGCTAGAAGCTACATAAAGTTCTACAGTTCCACGTGTTACACAGGCACCCGTCTGCCTCTATAGCGGTCCAATAACTGCAAGTTGACAGAAAATGCAGAAGTGATCATTTCAACATCGAGCAAAGAGCTGAAGAACTTCTACATCACATTTGATAGGTAGATCATACATGGAACCAAAAACCAACTACTCATAAATTCAACAGTCTCTTGAAACACAATTAACTATTATCTAAAAGACATTTATCAATAAAAACTAAGAAGTCCCTATCAACCACACCACAGCTAATAACATTTGTTTAAGATTTCCATGATCATCCTCTATTGATATGGTAACTCACGGACAGACAGAAGTCTAAAATACTAAAACAAATAGCTTTAGTAAATGGCGTGTATAAATGCTAAGATAGGGAAAAGGCATTTCAGCAAAACTGCTTACCGATCGAACATAAGGCTGTTGAAACAACCAACCAAGAACAGGGATCTTCTGCAAGAAAACAGCCAGTGTAGGCCAGAAACCACTGCAAAATATGATTCCATCATAAGCCTTAAGCACAAAATATACTTAATAGAACAGATTTTTTTTTTCAATTTTAACTAAACCTGAAGAGTATGATGAACCCATATGACTCCAATATCATGCCCAGAATAGGCCATCCAAGGATAAGAATAAAGAATCCAATACCAAATGAAATTGTTCCCTACGAAACCAGCAAATAGGTAAAAAGTGAAGGTTGAAAATTAACCATGAAGAGCACATGGAATGCTAAATGAAAGAGATGATACATAAATAACTAGTTTACCTTGAAATTACTACGTTTCATGAAGAATTGCATTGTGGAATTCAGTCCAATGGTCAGGGATACTCCAGAAACAAAGAGGATCTGATTTGAGTGACAAAATATCTTATTATGTAAAATCACACAACAAGCAGAAACAACAAAAACATAACCAAGATATTTGTCATAACACTTACATTTCCCATTGCTAGAAATCCCTTGTCGAAGAAGAAGATAATACCAAGGAATGAGAAAAAGATACCAAAGCCCGTTAATCCCAATCCAATCTCTGTTTAATGTGCCAATGCAAACATTAAATTTCAGAAGACATTAGAATAGTAAAACAAAAAATTATAAGCAGGACCAGTAGATGCCAGCTATGAAATATTTACATTTAATCTTATCATCTCCTTTAGCTGATTACAGAACAAATATGCAAAAGCAAGGGCACTAATAAATGTTTTAAAAATTGCTATAGCAGATATAGCATTGTGTAAGAAAAGTATCGGTACTTCTAGATAATAAATTTCAAGAAAATATTTTACCATAATAGTTATAAAAGTAATTTGATTATCAATAGAATTTTCAAAATGGCCAACTTGTAAAAAATGTCTAATTTCTTGTTTAGAATGGAAACAATAGGCAGAGATTATGCTTTTCTTCCTTTCCTCTTATTTCTCCTTTTGCTTCCATATGGACTGAAGCCCACAATCTGCCAGCACTGCATCATGCATAAATAAAAGACACATGGCACACACTAAGGCAGCACCCCCTTAGAAAAGCTTTGATAAAAATCAAGGCAATGAAGATAGGTAACAATCACGTGCACACAAACTTTAAAACTCTAGGCAACATAAATGGAAGCATTAAGTGCTTACAAATTTGGACCTGCAAAAATAACTTCACTAGCTAAAAAAAAATGTATGACAAAGACACTAGAATTGGTCTTTCACTACAAATTTAAATCCTCTAATCAACGATTTTATAAAACCATGAAAATAAAAAAATGCAGAAGGTAGAGGAAAAGAAGAAACCAAGCAAATTAGCACAATCCTAATATAAATCAAAATCATTTCAACCAGATATGATTTCCCAAAAATAAATGAATTCAACAAATAATTTATTTATAGGATCCATAGACTTAAGTACTAAAGACAGAAGACAAAGTCATATGATAACATTATTGCCAGTGAAAAAACAAAATCAAATTCCACTTACTCTTTCGATCATTCATTTCAAAGGAAACCATTTTATACGAATGGTTCAAACGTCCAACTATCAAGCCTTCACTGAAACAAAGGATAAAAGAAAATCAGTCAGTTAATAAAAATCAATGAAATGAATATTAATATTATCCCGAAACAGTTTGACTCAAGATGAACATACAGCAACGTCAGAGCCACTATAAATCTCAATCCTAGGAAAATTTCCAGGAGAACCAACTGTTAAGTATGAAAAATCATAAAATATAAAATGTCATTTAGGTCCTTGGAAAATAGGGATGACATCAGTTTAGTCCTTAAAAGAAACTTGACAACAACTTTCCATGTTGATTCCTTTTTCATCTCCCACATCACTTACTCTCTGTTCCGCCTTGAACCAAAGGTTCTCTAATGACATACACACATAAAGAAGCCAGAAGCACATTCATCCTCCAATCAACACTTTTCACACATATACAGAAACACATAATCACGTTTTCGTGTACACCCTTAATCACTTTGAAACGCTCATACATCAGGCATAACCCACACATGCATGGGTCTGAGAAAATTAAGAAAGCCAGCGCATGTAATTCATTCTTTACAAGTTTCAACAGCAGTTGACAAAAGCACAGCCTAGAAAATTCCCCCAAAGAAACCATCAAGCATTCCTCCGTAATCCATACCAATGGTCACAAAATCAGAATTCCTGGAACCAAAACAAAAATCACTAGACTACCCAAGTACAATAAATAACACCAAAAAACCACAGTAAAATCCAAAAAAAAAAAAACTACACCTCAGGCCAGCACCATTCATTCAGGAACTTAACCCAGACATGGTTTAACATTTATACTTAGTAGCCACTAGCAAACATGATTCCCAATTCAGAAACACCAATTGTCCCCTCACCAAACAATCAACAAGAACTTAGAACACCAAATCCTTCCTTCCAAATCTTCAGGAAAAACATAAACACCCTCTCAAACTTAGCATGTCTCCACCATCTGCAATCACCACATCAATTCCTTCCGAACTGAATAGAGATAAGTACTATTATTTACTACAATAGTCTGATCCACAAACATAGTTGGGTTAAAGTTAAAGCCTATGCTTGCTACACAAACACGACGTGATTTAGTTAGGTTGAAGATTAAATATGCAGAGATATTATTTACTATTATAGTCTAACCCGATAACAAAAATTGGATTAACCTTGCAATTCATTAATCAATGCCCAAACACCAGATCCATGAAAAATTCGAATTACAGCATATCAAACACAATGCTCTCCAGGAACAGAAACACCTAGAAAGCTAATGCTTCCGCGTGAATATTCACTTGTCACTGTCCCATTCTAATCAACCAAATTCAACTAAAAATAACGGTTTCGCGATTCGCCACAAAAATTTCTTCACAACAACGAGGCACGAGAACAGGCTTATGCGCTTCGGAAAACGCAAACGCGAAGCACAGACAACACGTTCATGCCACGAACGCTTGAAAAGAAGCCAATCCTCCAAAATCGAACGTGAAGAAACTGATCCGAACACGGTTATAGTCGCGTTTGGATCTCGCAACGCATCGTAGTTTCGGCGACAGAAGGAAAGGGATCCAACAACAGGAACAGCAAAATCTTAAGATTCACATACAAGTGTGTGTGAGAGAGAGAAAGAAATTACCGGTTTCCGTGACGCGGAGTCGCCGGGATGCGGTGGCGATCGGCGGCGGTGGTTCGGAAATGGTTATATGGTGACGAACAGTGTGATGGTTTTCAGTTTTCCACTGTTTTCAGTTTCTTTCTTTGGTTTGCTTCGTTCATTCGTTTTTTTTTTATTATTACAAAATCAGATGATGATGATGTTGTTTAGCCAATAAAATGAGAGAGGTCCACTCCACCAAGTATTCACAAAATGAAACTTCACGGATATTTTATTTTAATAAATGACGTCATTTATCTTTTTCTAAATTACATTTTTAATCTCATTATTTTTTTAATTTAAGATTTTCATTCTTTTATTTTAAAATAAAGATATTTAATTTTTTAATTTTAAAAATATAAAATTTTAATCTTTTAATTAATTTTTTAATCTTTTAATTAAATTTTAATTCTGAATACTTCGTAGAGAGGATCAAACTTCATTTCAAACTCATTTTTACTCGAATCTCTCTCTAAGAGTGTGTTTGCTTCCGCGTTCTGAACACGAATTTTCACGTTGAATGAGAAATAAATAACTATAACTTTCACGTTTTCTATAATAAATTACGTAATTTTTATATTTCTGACGCGTTTTCAAACACGCACTAAATTAGTTCTTTAGTTTGGTGAAATGGATTCATTATTTTTATTTTATCATATTAAATTTTTAATTGCAACCACTATTACCCTTCTAATTCAATCTTACCACCCAAAGTCATGAATACCCAAATCATTTTAACCTACACAAACTATCTTCCTAAGTCCATTCACATGTCATTTTATATTTTTTTGTTTAAGGATGATGTACTTGTGTACAATGAAATTTTATACTATACACATCTAATTAAAAATTATTTTGTATGATAAATTTTATAATTTTTATAATAATTATTTTAAAAATTATACTTAAAGTTTATTTAAATATACATTAAAATATTTTAAGAACTTCTCTACTGAAAATATAAAAAAAAAATCTGGTAAAGAAATTAAAAAAAATACTTTTAAATTTATTCTAATTTTTATTGCACTCATAGAGAACATAGTGGAAACACTTTTCAGAGCATTTGTTATGTTGTCGTGATACGGAGAAATAGGTGTAGGTTAAGTGAGATGAATGAGTGAATGTAAAAGGATCAGGTTTTAATTAAAAAGGATAAAAATTAATTAATTAATTTTTTTAATAAAGAAGAAAACAAAAAAAGCGTTTTCAGGGATTTGACTCTTTGGTGATGACGTGTATAATATTGTGACTGCGAACGAGAATAAAAGTGTATATTATATGTATAAATCAATATGATATGATATGAATTATGTTTAAATAGAAAATTATTGTTTTATTAAAGTTATATATAATTTTTATAAAAAAAAAATTTAATTACTTAAAATTTAAAGATTATAAAAAAATACTGTGACGTAGTAAGTGGATTTCAGAATTTAATGGATACTAGAGAGAAGAGTATATAAGACTTTCTCTGAGAACAGAGCCTCATAAGCTCATTCTCAAAGGAATTCTAGAGAGAAGTTTCAGGAAGAAGGGCTCTAGGCTAAGAAGCTTTTTTTTTAGGATTCTCTCATTTCTTGGCTGTTTTGAGCTAATTTTCAGGTGAGGGGAGCTAAAATGTAGTTTGTTTAGTTGCATGTGAGTTTAGAAACTCAATTGATGCATGAATTTTGAGAATTAATGGCTGAATTGAAGAACTTCTCATTTTTTGAGGTTTCGGGAAACATGAGGTTTTTGGTGATTTTGATGCGTCTATTAGATGCATGTTGAATCTGAGATTATTTTTGAATTGTGTGAAGCATATGTGTTGTGTTTCATGGATTGCATGTGGTTGGATTTCCTGATTTTCAGGTTTTGGATGGAATTTTCGAAGTTTTTGAAGCTTTTGTTTGAATTTGCACCGAGCGCATGTTCTTGGCGTCGGGCATGCATTCATCAAAAGTAGCCATTTTCTAGCGCCGAGCGCGATTGAAGATGGGAGTCTCTGGGTGAATCACGTCGAGCGTGAGGAGAGTCACGCCGGGTGCGATATTAGATGGTGATGTTGCATGGCATTTTCTGATATGGCACCGGGTGCAGGGTAGGTGCGCCAAGCGTGGAGACCTCTAGAGGTCTCTGTCTAGACGGCGCTGGGCACAAGATTGATGCATCGGGCGTGGAGACTCCTGTGAGTCTCTGTTTGAATGGCGCTAGGCGCGAGTTGAATGCGTCGAGAATGGAAGAGCTTAGAGCTCTCGGGTTGGATGTTAGGCCAGGCGCGAGCTGGCTGTGCCGGGCGTGAGTATGTTTAGTAATGTTGATTTCAAAGGATGCTTATGCATGTTTAAAGTTGAATATTTGACCATGTATGTATGATATATGATGTATGGTGGTATATGATTCATATGTATGCTTGGTAATGATATGTATGAATGTTTAAATATGATATGACATGAGTATATGTTCATATGAGGATGATTATTAATCATGATGGTAGATTGGCCATGTATGATGTATTGATGCATTATTGCATGTGATGTCTTATAGCATGTGTCTAGCCTAGGACTTGAGGAGAGGGAAATATTTTCGAACTGGAAGAGCTCACATAGAGTTTCTTGAGAGTGGTGCTTGGATAGACCACTGATATAAATGAGAGTGGTGCTTAGATAGGCCACTGGTTTGGGTGAGTCTCCTCTAAGTCCTTAGCTAGTGTTGGAGGGGGGTATGAGGTCGAGGGTTATTCCTTTAACCAAGTATTGGGAAAGGTGCGTGGTTCCTTGCGGATAGTAAGTGAGCAAACTCCACAAGTGACTTGGTAATGCATGTCAAGGTCGTGGTAAGCCTGTATCCAGCTGTGTTATACCTGACGGTGGAACCGGACTTCCAAGTGTGTAAGTGACATCATCCGAGTAAACTCGAGTGAGGATTTATATCCTGATTAACTGTGACCGAGTGGGCGCATTGGGTGTGAAAACGGTTGGGGTGGTTTCGATAAGATTGGAATGTCACTTATATTGCTCTACTATTAGGGAGATCTCCTAGGTGAATGTGTGATGACGCATTAGATGATTGATATGCATTGATATCTATCATGATGTTGTTATTATTGCATGAATTCTGTTATGATGAAGTGTATGTTGTTTGACTTCATGATTGTTAAGTTGCATTTTATGCATGAGTAGTATTGGACAAATTGTATGGTGTGGCTCTATGAGTATGATTGGTAACTTGATAATGGTGTAGCATAGACATTTATTTGTATGCTTACATGGTTGATTTTGAACTCTAGCTTACCCTTCTGTTTTCATGTTGATGGACTGCGATGATCATACTGTATATGAGAGCAGGTCAGGGTTAGGTTGGAGTTGGTTGTTGTGATCGCTGTAGGACATGGAGTTTTGTTCCAATGTTACAGTTACCATATTGGGTAACTGTTTGTTGTGATTGACCATCACTAGGATAGTATTATTTTGGATGACTGTATATGCATAGTTCTATATTTTATACAAAAATACCTATAACTTCATTTATATGTATATTATGTTATCCAACTTAATATTTTATTTTAGTTCACTAGTTTATTAGTGCGATTCCACTAAGTGTAGGGATCACGGCGAGTCGTTATAAATATAAATTTCACTATATTATATAAAATTATTTATTTTTATATGGTTATTTTTCTAAAAATTATAAAAATTCATACAATATTTTTAGAATTATAATTATTATTCAAATATTTTTATTTAAAAACTATTTGTATAAATATTAATTTTTAATATTTTAATTATAATATACTTTAAATTTACATATCAAAATTATTGTAATTATATATAAGATAAAATGTTGAATGT